CCCTATCTTCATCTGTCATCTTTTGGGGATTCTATCATGGGGGTGGTTGATGCAATTTTCTACCATATATGTAATCCTTAATATGCATCTTCCAAAATGTGAAATTTGATTCATCAAACTTGTGGATCACAGGTGCATATCCTCCTTCTTCTTTAGATATGCTCTCTCACTTAAACCAAGCTCTAATACTAGTTGTTAGGAAATGTTTATGCAAATTAACTAGCCTTAATCCCTAAGAAAACGATAAATTGAACGAACAAATGACAAATTAAAATAATCCACAAGCACAAAGATTTATAATGGTTCACTTTCCATATGAGAACTACATTCACTTTACTATTATGGAATTTCACTATAAAGACAAAGAACATTACAAGAATCTCTCAAGCCTCACAAATTTGCTCACCACTCTCTTTTTGGTGGCTACTGATTCTCTAGCACTCCTCTCACTTTCTCTAGGACTTTAACAACCTTATATAATGTTTAGGGCATCCCACAACTCTCTTAATGTAATACAAAGTCCTTTGGGTTTAAAACACTCATCCTAAACTAAAAGCATGTTTTCCAGAAAGTTTAGTTGCTCCAATGAATTTTCTTTGCTATAGCCAAAAAATTCACTATAACGAATTTGAGTCCACTATAGCAAATTTGCTTATTGAATTTCATTGCAAAAACTTTTTATTATAGCAAGACTTATAGCAAATTTGCAGATTCAACATTTCATCATTTCACTTGATTTTGGCTTCACAACTCAACACATTTTTATAATCTTTTTTTTTTTTTTTAAATTTATAACAAGTACATTCTCTAATCTTAAAGCTATGAAATTCAATTTTTGTTCCGTTTTTCATCTTCTTTTATTTTTAGAAAACAAATTCACATATTAATACTGAATTTCCCTTTACAATAAATGGTTAAGCACTGTATTACACAATCATGCATCTTGCATTTTAAATTACCTTGAAGTATGTTTGATTGAATTTTATTAAATTTGGGTTATCTAGAGTTTTAGCCAACAAACAACTTATAGCAATAAAATTATTCCTTCATGCTCATATTCCAAATAATTTTATACGAAGATTAATACATATTTAAATTCTATATTAATTATTTTTTGAAATTTGATGTAATTAAGATATTGAAACCTACCATAAATTTAAATATTGCTAGTTTAGTTCAATCCATTACAATTTCTTGTAGAAAATGGAAACTTCAAACAAAAACATTAAGGCAACCCTAACTATTTGTGCACAGGGACCAAACTAATGGAGGCTATTATAGGGCCAATCATTGAACTTCTAAAATGCAAAGGGCCGGCGTTATGCAAATATGTTCAATATTATACGAAGCTTCATGGGAATATGAAAATTCTGAAAAGAAGATTGGGAGAGTTAAATAGTCGAAAGGAAGATGTTGAACTAAGGTTGAGCATGGAGTGTAATATGGGGAAATTACCTAAAGCTAAAGTCAATAATTGGTTGCAAAATACTAAGAGGATCAATGAGGAAGCAAAAGATATTGAGAGACAAGTTAATAAGGTGGAATACTTCTCACGTGGACATTTAGGAAAGCTTGTTGACGAGAAAATTAAAGAAGTGAAAGACCATCACCAGAATGGTGCATTTGAGAGTTTGGTTATTGATGCACCTCAAACTGTTGGACTGGTACTACCAACAACAACATTAGTAGGTGAAACAACGGCGAAGAAAAACATGAACGAAATTTGGGAACTTTTAATGGGTGATGAGGTGATGAAGATAGGAGTTTGCGGGATGGGGAGAATCGGTAAAACAACTATAATAACTCATATCAATAACAAACTCCTCAAGGAGATGAATAAGTTCGAGAAGGTGATTTGGGTAACTGTATCTCAACCACTTGATCTTTTGAAATTGCAAGATCAAATTGCAGCTGCATTGAAAGAAAATCTTCCCAGAAATGAAGATAAAAGGATACGGGCCGGAAACTTATTGAAAATGTTGGAAGGAAGGAAAATTGTGTTGTTATTAGATGATATGTGGGAAGCATTTAAGCTTGAGGAAGTGGGAATTCCTGAACCTACAAAAGATAGTGGATGCAAATTAGTGATAACAACTCGTTCACAAGATGTATGTCGTTCTATGGGTTGTAAAATAGTCAAAGTGAGGTGTCTCTCAGATGATGAGGCATTGACGTTATTCATTGATAAAGTGGAACTTAATATTTTTGAAGTTCCAGCTTTAAAAGACATTGTGAAACTTGTGGTCGAACAATGTGCTCGTTTACCCCTTGCAATTGTCACAGTAGCTTGTTGCATGAGGAGAGAATATGACATTTGTGAATGGAGGAATGCACTCGAAGAATTGTCTAAAAGCATACAAAGTGTCAAAGGCATGGAAACAAATGTACTGGGGCAATTACAGTTCAGTTATGATCGCTTGAAGAGTAAAAAGGTGCAACATTGTTTCTTATATTGTGCACTATATCCCAAATACTTCAAAATCCTGAAAGAGGAGCTAATAGTGTATTGGATTGCAGAAGGACTAGTAGATGAAAGAGCTAGTATGCAAGCAACATACGATGGGGCTTATTCTATATTGAATAGACTTGTAAACAATTGCTTGTTGGAGACTATTGATGATGGAAGGTGTGTGAAGATGCATGATCTTTTTAGAGAAATGGCATTGGACATTACAAGCATGAGTCCTTTATTCATGGTAAAAGCTGGAGAGAAATTGCAAGAATTCCCAATGGAACGAGAATGGAAAGAGAATCTTGAAAAGGCTTCATTAATGAGGAATAACATATCAGAAATTCCTCCAAATATGTCACCAAATTGTCAAGCTCTTTCAACTTTGCTTCTACAAGAAAATGTTTTTTTAAAAAATATTCCTGAATCTTTTTTTATAAGGATGCAAGGGTTGAATATTCTCAATCTTTCCTACACCATAATCAAGAAGTTGCCAGATTCTATCTCTCACTTGACGAATCTTACAGCATTGTTACTTCAATATTGCGAGCATATAAAGCATGTTCCTTGTTTAGCAAAACTGGTGTGTCTTCGGAATTTGGACCTTGAGGGAACTCAGATAACAGAAGTCCCTGAAGGTATGGAGATGCTGCAAAAGATTAGATACCTTAATCTTTTTTCAGTGTATCTAGAAAAGTTACCAGTTGGGATGCTATCTAAACTAAATTGTGTCCAAAAATTGAGAGTGTATTGGGGATCCAAAACTTCAGAAGAAATGGTTGAGGAGGCATCAAAATTGAGTGAATTAGATATTTTAGAAGCGTGCTTTAGAAAAATAGAAGACTTTAAGATATATGTCAAATCTTTAGGAAGTGGAGGTCCTACACTTAGAAAATACAGTCTTACAGTAGGATTACCATCATCAGAAATTAAAATAATACAAGACCAGTTGTATTCGTGTTATTCATTTTGGCCCCCTGTCAAAGAAGTTGATAGATTTGTGGAGTTTAATGTTAACTTTGTTGCGCCCCCAAAAGATTTACAGTGTCTAACTCTGAATTACTGCAATACTGTAACAAGCTTAAGTGATGTTCTGTGTAACGAAGGAGATTATTCAGATCTTAAAGCTGTCCACCTACGTTATTGTAAAAATTTAAAGAAGTTGTTGTCAGCTAAGTTGTTGCGGGCCTTGCCAAACCTAGAAGTGATTGAAGTTTCTAGTTGTAATGAAATTGAGGAGATAATAAGATTAGATGTTGATGAAGAAAAAAGTGAGGAAGATGGAAGGAGTAATACCACACTAACTCTTCCTAAATTGAAAATATTGAGATTGTGTTATCTTTTTGAATTGAAGAGGATATGTAGTAGTAATGGAGTAATGGTTTGTGATTCTCTCGAACAAATTGAAGTACTCGTTTGCCCAAAACTGAAGAGGCTCCCTCTGTCTCTTCCCCTACCTGCAATTAAAGAAATCAAGGGAGAAGAAGAATGGTGAGATTCATTGGAGTGGGACAATCCCAATGCAAAAAACGCCCTACAGCCTTACATCAAATATATTTTTTATTGAAGCTATAGAACAAAGGTAATTAAATTCATTCCGTTGATAATCAAGCTGTGTTGATGAAATTTTGACGCCACTTAGCAAGAGTTTAATAACAAATTATTTATTGCTCATTTATTTAATATTAAATAATTTGTTTTCCTATGAGTAATATTATTTGTTGCTTCTTTTATATTTTAAAATGTTTTTACTTCTTTTATATTCTTTACAATTAATGCTTTTAATTAGAATAATTATATTCAATTAATTATGGCAGTGCCAGAACGGAAGAGGCTTCCTGTCTCTTCCCCTGCCTGCAATTAAAGAAATCAAGGGAGAAGAAAAATGGTGGAATTCATTGTAGTGGGACAATCCCAATGCAAAAAAGGCCCTACAGTACAGCCTTACATCAAATATTATAATTGAAGCTGTGGAATAAAGGTAATTAAATTCCCTGCCCTGCCCTACATTCACAGTATTATGCTATTTGTTGCCATATTTCAAAATGTTTTTACTTCTTTTATAGTCTAAGTTTAAAATACTTTAAATTCCTTTATTCATTTTTTAGATTATATTAATTTGTATGCTTTAAATGCACATATTAAATGGAAGATTTTTATACTTTAATTAAACTCATAAAAAATTATAAGAGTATCATAAAATATTGGTTTCATAATTCAATTTCAGTGGTAGTTTCTCTTCAGAAGAGTGGTGGTGAGATTAGAGTCCTTTAACCTTCAATTTCATCTGTGTTTGTTTCTTCATTGTTTCTGGAGAAGCTCTTCTTTTTCTTTTTATTTCAATTTAATTATCACTCTTTTATATTTATTTATCTTTAAATCTTTCAAAATTGAGCTGTTTCAATCACATTCTTGTACCAAGATTCTCAACCCTTTTGAATCTTTTTTAAACTGGGATTCATTTCTTTTTGTTACTTAATAGTGATTAAAAAGAAAATGATGAAATGAAATAGTATTCTGGATTGTGGTTAATGTGTTTGGAAGAATTTGACTCTCCCCCCTTAGATGATGAAATGGGTTCTGAGAAATGTTTTGGTTAACTGAATTTCTTGTTCACTTTTGTGTGGTTAGAATTTATTTGATTACCATTGTTGTTGATCATGCTTCCTTTATTCTTTAGTAATTTTTGAATTTGATGCATCAATTCATTCTCTGTTTCTTGGTTTCGTTGTTTGATAGAATTTACTTCTTAGAAATCTGTTCTATGGTAGAAACAATGATTTTGAGTGGACTCTTTTTGCCTTTAGGGTATACATAATGGAAAGTAAGGAGACACACAATGGGGATGAGATACCGACTTCTTCTTCCCACCACTAAGAAATGAAGATGTTATGTCCAATAGTTCATTACCAGTGAGCTAGTTAAATGTTAGCACAGTGACATCATACATTCTTTACAGGGATGCTTGGATTGAAAGGCCTTTTTTATGGGGGGAGCTGTGAAAACTCTTGCAAGTTGTAAATGTCAAACTTCTGTGCGGTTGCAAAAACAGATGTTCTGAGGCTGGTTAAGTGCTGACTAGAGATTAGAAAATATTTTAGTTACAGGAATTGGATATTTAGAAAGGAAATTTGAAAGAAGTTTCATTATGTCATTTAATGCTTGTGAGAGAGCTTGGACTGCCCAAAAAAAAATCTTAATACTTCATGTAAGACTCGGTAGCTTTTTAAGTGCGGTTGGATTTATGAAGTTTCATGTCGAATTACCACAATTTCATGGTTGAACTCAACTCTTCATGGTAAGAATCACTGAAGTATACTCTATGAGCTTAAAATGTATATTTTTTTTCTTTTTTCTGTGTATAATTTTGTTAAACATATCTCTCAATAATGTTTCAATTCTTGATGACTTAATATATTGTATTCACTTCTTCCTTTCTGAAGTAACATTATTTTTATTATAGCTACAGGGCAACAATTTTCGGCTAATCAAAATATTGGTGTTCAAAATCACATGTTTCCCCTGAGAATACCGCTTCAACTGGCTGGTAAGGCATTCCTCCATTCTCACAGCTCTATCCTATCAAGCTGTATCTGCCATATTCTTAACGACATCCGACTCTTTTTGGCAAAATGGTAATCTGGATCTTGCCAGATCAATTTTTCTTTGGTCCACTGACTAAAGTATGATAAACTAACTATCTATACTACCTTTTTTTGGTGGTCATTGGTTCCTTTCTGAAATAACATTATTTTGATTGTAGTTGTAGGGCAACAAGTTCCAGCTAATCAAAATTCTTACAGCTCTATCTTATCAAGCTGTATCTGCCATTCTTACCCTATCTAGTCGCTCACCCAATTCAGCATACAACAAAACCACAGACTGATTCTTCTATTTCAAAATCAATTCAAGCTGCTCCCTCTCCCGCACCACCGGTCCAGATAGCTCCTTTCCCACCCAAAACACAGATTTTCTATCCCGTATCCCAGACTTCTGCGGCTCGGACTGTTCATCCTCTTTCACCCTTGGCCAAGGAATTTATACCTTGTCATGTGGTGCAAGGTATGTCTTCTTCTTCGAATCTTTTTTAAAAAGCTCCTTTCCCTGTATAAAGTTTTAAGTCAAGGTACCCTCTGAGAAAATGTATACCTGATTAATATTTTACTCGACCTCTTCTGGCCTTTTTAGTGATTGCTGTGCTATTTTCAGTCCATTATGGAACACTATAATAAACATGAATAAATTGGTTGAATTGGACTATTACCGATTATAACGACTTTAATCCAGGTTGAATCAGGGCTCTAAATCTGCGCAGGTCATCCATTTTTTTATAGGTACATTTGTAGTATTTTTTGCTGGATGCTCGTAGGTAACTTTGGTCAATTTCAAACCACTGATCCTATTCAGCCTGCCAGTAGACTGACTTCACCTGCTTATACCTTTGGTAATTAACATTTAGCTCCATGATCACATATAAATTTAGTTCAACATTACTGTTCGTAATCATGATTTTTAAGCTTTACAATCGCAGGTCTAGTAATTCCAATTGGTGGACCTGCTCAGTCTTCCAATGCTCCAGTTCGACCATCTGCTAATAGATTTACAAACCAAGCCTGTCAATTTCGACCATCTTCTAATAGATCTGCATATGAAACCCGTCCAGTTCGGCCATCTTCTAATAGATCTGCATACAAAACCCGTCCAATTCGACCATCTCGTAGACCACAGTCCCAGACTGATTTGTCAGACCTGCATGCTCTTGCACAAGTGACTAAGGATTTTCCAACCGATCACATAAAGCAAGGTATTTTTTTCAGGATTCTAAGATCTATTTTTGTTGTTGACTTCCTTGAGTTTTGTAAGTGTGCTTCCTTCCATATACAACATTTCTTCAATTTTAAGCAATGGTACCCTTCTAATATACCCATATACTTTTCAGATAATTGAACATTTAAAAATTTTAAGCAATGATACCCTTCTAATATACCCACTGTACATTATTGAGAACTCGCATGGCAATAGAAGGATCTGTTTTGGCTTATGTAACATGGTTTATCCATCTCCAAGCTAAGCTGGACCTCAAAATGCTTATTTAAGTTTGCCACAGCCAGATTTCCCATCCATGTGGATTTTGATAATAGACAGTAAACGCTTTGTTGTTGCAGAAAATCCAGCTAAACCTAATACCTCAGTGTGCCTCTAATGTTTGTAATGTTAAGGATGATATGAACGCTCATCATTAGAATCGCAATGACTGCAGTTACACTTCTCTATGCAGATTTTGACAAACCTCCTCAACCAAGTGGAAGAGAGTGTTTCTTTTGCAAGAGGGATCTTTCATTCACACCAGAAGCCGATGGCCCCATTTCCCAGCCAGGTATTCCTCCATCTGTTGCAGTTTTGCCATGCGGCCACTACTTTCACACCCGCTGCCTAGAGATTATCACTCCTCCAGAGAAGTCTACATATCCTCCTTGCATTCTTTGTGACCAGATTACCAATCTTTTCTCTTGTTTTTTCTCTTCAATTTTTTATCTCTAATTTCAGTAGCATCAGTCAGAATATAGGAGGGAATCGGAAATGAATATTTTTTCAGAGAATATAGCATCAGTCAGGATTGAAGTAGATAAAATTGAATATCACTGTACATAGCAAGCCATTCTGATTCATATGATGAATAGGCTTCACAAGCAGTTAGAAAATTAGCAAGTGTGTATATATAATAGGTAACACATTTTGAAGTGAGATTTAACCATTTCATTCGAATTCAGAAATTTATATTAGATTTCTTCACCTTGTATTGGCTTACATAGATTTAAACGTGTTTATAATGTTTGAGTTCTCTTAAATATTTAAATGTGTTTTGGGTGAAGGACGTTTGCACGAAACTTAATCGTAAATTTATACAAGCCTGTTTCGATTATACAAGCCTGGACTCGAAACGACTAATTTATTATCTTGTTAAACAGCCGAATTTGCAGGTAATAGAAAATAAAGTTTGCTAATAATTTGAACGTGACTTAAGGTTGTTGAGTTATGTTATTAGTTAGTTTATTATTTTGAATCAATATCAAATTTTAAATCATGAATCATAAACAAAACATAAATAATAAATATATTTTTGGAATTTATTGCCAGGTGCTATTTCTTTTATTGATATAAAGGAACAATAAATTTGTACTAATGAAACTCTTTTGGACATTTCAATTATTGAAACAAAAATGCATTATAATTCTTTAATTTATGATTTTGTATGTAATAGATGGAGTTAGAAATAACATTATGGGATTAAGAATTATTATGGAATGAAGAGAGTTTTTAAAATATTTAATTGTAATATAACATCATTAAATCACATGAGAAAGTGATATTTGATCTACTGTTCACCGAAAGCAAAATTAATTTGATAGGCTCAATACAAAAGCAATATGATAAAGAAAAAAAAATAATTATGAACGTACGAGGGAATTCAATAAAAAAGCTTGAAAATTTAGG